ATGTGAATTTGGTGTCAACATATCTTATATACAATTAGAGATATGATAAATTATGGTATAAAGGTGTATTAAGAATTGTAATGCAAAAATAAAAAATAAATATCTCTAACTATAAAAAAAGAAAGTATCCCAACATAAATAGATGTTCATGAAGTACACTGTCTTTCAAATATTAGAGGCAACAGTATATCAAATCTTCCACCACCACAGAATGTGGATTTCCTCATGTAGTCTCACCATCTGTCACCAAAGCCACAGTAATAGTTTATATTTAATTTATGCCAGTACTCCACTTTCTGGATTAAGTCCTATATTGGTCAAAATAGGCTAGGTTATACTTCAAGAACAAAAATTCCTTAACTCTAGTAGATCATAACAAAAATGTTTTTCTCTTTCACCTTCCCTTCTGAATACACAGAAAGGCTCTGTTCAGAGCAGTTACTCAGAAATTCAGCCCGATGGAGCAATCACTGTCTTGAATATGACTGGTCACACTGCCATGGGGAAAAGTGAGTTCTAAAACCTCTAATATCAATAATTAAATGCTCTAAACCAGAAGTCTGTTTCACTCACAACTCACTAGCCAGGAATTGGTCACATGGTCACACAAAAGAAGTACTTGTTGAAATAGCAGGGATGACTGTATGCATAAGAGCTGAAATTCTGACTGGAGTGAGATGAAATCTTAAGAGTAGTTTTGATTTGCATTTCTCTAATTGCTAGAGATGATGAACATTTTTTCATATATGTGTTGACTGATTGTAGATCCTCGTCTTAGAAGTGCCTGTTCAGGTCCTGGCCCATTTGTTGATTGGGTTATTTGTTTTTTTTTTTTTGGTGCTTAGCTTTTTGAGTTCTTTATATATCCTAGTGACTAGTGCTCCCAAGATGTAGGCTCTCTATTCACCTCACAGATTGTTTCTTTTGCTGAGAAGAAACTGTTTAGTTTGATTCCATCCCATTTATTGATTTTTTATTTTAATTCCTGTGTCACAGGAGTCTTATTAAGGAAGTTGGGGCCTAATCCCACATGATAGACACTAGAACCTACTTTTTCTTCTATTAGATGCAGGGTCTCTGGTTGTATTCCTAAGTCCTTGATCCATTTTGAGTTAAGTTTTGGGCTGGGGTTGTGGCTCAGCAGTAGAGTGCTCGCCTCGCACGTGCGAGACCCTGGGTTCGAGCCTCAGCACCACATACAAAAATAAACAAATGAAATAAAGGTGTTGTGTCCAACTACAACTAAAAAATAAATATTAAAAAAAGGGGGCCGAGTTGAGTTTTGTGCATGGTGAGAGCTAAGGGATTAAAACAACAATAAGTGTTGGAGAGGATGTGGGGAAAAAGGTACACTCATACACTGCTGGTGGGACTGCAAACTGGTGCAGCCAATATGGAAAGCAGTATGGAGATTTCTTGGAAAACTGGGAATGGAACCACCATTTGACCCAGCTATCCCTCTCCTCGGTCTATATCCAACGGATTTAATAACAGCATATTACAGGGGCACAACCACATCAATGTTTATAGCAGCACAATTCACAATAGCTAAACTGTGGAACCAACCTAGATGCCCTTCAAAAGATGAATGGATAAAAAAAAGTGGCATTTATACACAATGGAATATTACTCAGCAATAAAAAGAATAAAATAAAGGCATTTGCAGGTAAATGGATGGAGTTAGAGAAGATAACGCTAAGTGAAGTTAGCCAATCCCAAAAAAACAAATGCCAAATATTTTCTTTGATATAAGGAGGCTGATTCATAGTGGGATAGGGAGAGGGAGTATGGGAGGAATAGACAAACTCTAGATAGGGCAGAGGGGTGGGGGTGGGAAGGAGGGGGCAGGGGTAATTAATGATAGTGGAACGTGATGATCATTATTATCCAAAGTACATGTACGAAGATACAAATTGCTGTGAGTATACTATGTATACACCCAGAGATATGAAAAATTGTGCTCTATATATGTAATAAGAATTGTAATGCATTCGGCTGTTATGTACAAATAAAAAGAAAGAAAGAAAGAAAGAAAGAAAGAAAGAGAGAGAAAGAAAGAAAGAAAGAAAGAAAGAAAGAAAGAAAGAAAGAAAGAAATAGCAGGGATAAAAAAATCACATTAGGTTTAAAAAAGAAAAAGGATATTGACTTAGAAGAATGGAAAAAAATTCTAGATGAATAAATTCTCAGCTCTTAAGAGTCTATGCTGAGACAAGAAGCTTTCCAGAAGTATTGTGGTAGGAGAATTTTCACTTTTCATCTTACAGACTTATGTAGTGCTTTCATATTTTCCTCTAAAGATTATTTTAATTTAACAAAACAAGTCTGGATGATTTCCAATTTAAAAGTAAAATATTCTTCAATCTAATAAACTACCCACTTAGAAATCTAGTACAGTTAATAAAAAATGTAGACCAAAATTTATGAACTAAGAGTTTCACAATATTATTTATAATAGTGAAAATAAAAGAGTGGTTATAAAAGTATAATCTGCCTATACAAAAATATATAGCAGGATTGGCAAACTTTTGTTTAAAGAACCAGATTGTGACCCTGTAGGCTTGTGGGCTATATGGTCTCTGTCACATATAACTGCACTGTATATAGTCGAACATATAAGACGCTATGTAAACGAAATACCAAAGGAAATATATAAACAAAATGGCATGGCAGTTCCAATAAAATTTTGTTTATAAAAATAAGAGGCCATGAGCTGGGGTTGTGGCTCAGTGGTAGAGCGTTTGCGTAGCACACGTGAGGCACTGGGTTCGATCCTCAGCACCACATAAAAATAAACAAACAAACAAACAAATAAAGGCTACCTGTAGGCCATAGTACAGTAATTAAAACATCTGTAAGGCAGTGGTGAAAACCAAGATATTTTAAAACTACACTATAATGTATAGTTCTCAAATTCTCCATAAATGGTATGCTTTACTTTAAAAATATTTAGGGAGGAAAAAATAATTTTAAAAAGTGGTTGGAGTGGACAAATAATACAGGTAATATTTCTGTTCTGCTTTTGGAAAAGCCAAATGATTCCAGAATTACCGGGGATATTTTCCAGAAATCAATATCCGAGGGAATGTGTATTATCAGCCATCATTTAGGCCATTAATATCTGCAGCTAGATCTTCATTATAATGACAGTGTATCATCAATAAAGGTTAACTATGCTTAGTATATATATTTAATAATGAAAATAATTTTATAGTATTTTTAACAAGCAATTAAAAATAAGCTTTCATTAACTATAAAAGTAATTTGACTCAGGATACCTCCTTCAATATTCATATTATGGGTTTTATTACAGATGTGTTTAAGTCCACACAAAATGATGTGTTAAAAGTATCTTTTAGTCTAAGGCTTTTGGGTTGAAAATGAATATTTTCACAACTTTCAAAAATCTATGTCTATATTGCTCTGCAGATGCCGCTGAATAAAAAAATACTAAAAAAATAACTGCTTCTTTTTAACAATCAGAAACATGTAAATTATTTAATTTCTTAGCAGAATAAAGGTCTTAGTGCTATAATAATCCAGTAAAAATTAAACATTTATAACGGTCTTTTAGTCCCTGTATACTTAAGAAGTCCTATTTCATTAAAGTCAATATAAATGAAAAGTCTTGGAGTAATTTTGTTGAAACAAAAATAATGTCAATCATAAAGTCAAATAATGTCATAACAAAAGCCTACAAAAATGTAATGATGTTGGGGCTGTGGCTGTGGCTCAATGGTAGTGTTCTTGCCTAGTGTGAGTGAGGCACTGGGTTCAATTCTCAGCACTTCATATAAATAAATAAAGGTCTATCAACAATTAAAAAATATATAAAAATGTGATGATGTTAAAATTTCAATAATTATTATATAAAATAAAGTACATGCTTTTCTTTTTTAATAAGAGATTTACTAATCCTGTTGAGGTTTAAGTCTTTGATTTCTATTAATAAAAGGGATGATTAGACCTTTTTATTTAAGATAAGTCTTTTATTTCATATGCAAATAGTCACCTATAGGAATAATATGTGAACGTACACTAGTCATCAATGAGTTGTTTGCAAAAAATGTTTTTTGTTTTTTTTTTTTAATGGTGAGGATTAGGCAAGTGCTCTATCACTAAACTCATCCTCAGCCCCCCAAATGAGTTATTTTTAAAGAGAATATTCAAGATAAATGCTAGGAATTATAGGTGTGGTGGGAAAACAATAATTTCAGAATCAAATCAAATTGGGCAAATCTTGGCTTTGTAACCTTAGCCAAATAATTTCCCAGATATTTGGTTTCTTTATCTGTTTACTTAGAGCCAAAACAAAGCAACTCATTCTTTGTCAGGTCCTCTTAACAAATGTCTATAATAGCTCTTTAAAAATTCATGGGGTAAAAAACAAAACAAACAAACAAAAAACCTTATAATTTCTTCCCTAAAACATTGGAGAGGCAAAGGAGAAGAAATAACATAAATAAAAAAGGTACTTAGATTTTCAATATAAATTAAATGTATAGTTCCATAAAATGAACATAATGTGTCTTAATTCATGAAACTGCACTTATGTTCAATCATAATTCTATTATTAGGTAACAAAGAACTATGAGCCATCTTGGATAATCTTAGGCAAACTCACTAGTGTTCCTAATCTCACTGGCCTTCATAACCACATTGAAGGTGTCTAAGTACTCGAAAGCTCGGTTATGCAAAGCAGGGTCCATGGGCCAAATCCAGCAACATCCTGTTTTACAAATAAAGTTTTACTGGAATATGAACAGGCTTATTATTTACATATTATTCATAGGCTGATTTCATGCTACATGGCAGAGTTGTACAACTATCACCACATGACCCACAATTATTTATTATCTGGTCTTGAGGAGAAAAAGTTTGCTAACCACTACTCACTGATCACTACTCAAAGATTTAGTTTGTTTATTTGATATGTTAGTTCCTGATTGGGGATTAGACAAAGAGATTGTGTAAGAATGTAAACCAATTATGCTATCAAGTTCAATGCTTATTTCAACTTTATTTTTCATTGCCAGACTTTCTCAATAAAAGACAGTCAGATACAGATTCCTTTTCTCAGTCGTAGGTAAAAATCATTTCATTGACCAGCTACTTTGAATATCACTACTCTAAAGGTATAAGGTGGAAGGGGGTAGAAATTACCCAAATCTCAAAAGGGATTTTGGTGTTACTTACAGACTTAATTTGACACAAATTTCTATAGAGTTTTGTGGCATAAGGTGATAGGCTTGGCAACAAATTAAATAAAACTGAGAAAGTGGTTCTTACAAAGACATTTTTCTACTCCCTGCTCCTCTACCGTTTATATTATTCCCCAAATTTTCCCTGCTATAGATTTCTGTTTCAACAAGGTAAAAGATGACAGTTAATGGGTTTCCCTGTCTTTTCTTGGGAGCAGGAAAGATGAAATATTAGTTCTTCATCAAATATTCAAGAAAATAATACAATTATATATTTTGCCTATTTAGTCTGAGCATATTTAAAAATGTACAATATTAAATTGTATTTCTCTTTAAGTAAAAGGATTTATAAAGCAACTATTCTCTGTAAATATTGGCAATATTATCCCTTGTATTTTAATTTCTGATTTAAAATAAGTCATGCCAGGTGAAGACAAGGGAATGGAATTCTAGTAACAAATTTCTTTGAATGAGTATACAATTTCTAACAGCACCAAAAGTAATCTGAATCAAGCATTGATCTGAAAAGTAAAATGATTTAGGGACAGATTTTTATTGCAAATATTTACTCAAAAACTACTATACAACAGAATTTTAATAGCTGCTTAAAACATTTAACATTCAGTAAAACCAAATTTAAGAATTCAAAGCACATTTTAAGAAGTAAAAATGTAGCATTTAAATAAAGTTTATTAGTACTTAAAGCAAACTATTATTCTTCATATTATTCTATATCTATTATGTTCTAGATGATAAAAAACTGAAAAATCAATTTAGCAGCCAACTTATGGGTAAATTAGGCTACTTTCCCCAAACCAGTCTTCTATATCACTCTTTTAGGTCCCGTTTGAAGTTTCTATTTTACAATTAAGAAAAAGTCACTTAAACATGACTGAATACATGTCAGCACATGTTTTCAGTTTACTGCTTTACATTATCTACATTATACCATACTTTGGTTTGGCTTCCAGACCATTTTTATGGGTCTATTTCTAAGGAAGATATTAAAACAATATTAAAAGGATAGTAGCTACAGGAGTTTCAACAATGAATTTCTACTTTATACAACTAGTACATCAAGGGATTTTTGCACAGCTTACATACTGACCAAAAGCACAAATATAAATTTATATTTTATAATTCCACTTTCACTGAAAGTTTAATTAAAGGTAAGCTTACAGCCTGGCAGGCTAACACTTGTTATGGAGGTACACAGATTCAAAAATTCTGTTTACATGCTTCTGACAGACTGGAATGTTATACTGAATTCAAAATTAAGTTCGTGTTCATCCAAATTCTCATTAGATCAATTTAGCACTCTAAGCATGCTCCATTTGCCAGCATTATACTTAAAGCCTTTATAACAATGCCAATCAGCCATTATTTAAAATCTATTATTCTGAAAAGTACATGATTTCCAAATCTCTTTCTTTAAAAGTAACTTAAAAGGTTATACAGATAATAAGGATTTTAAGCTTAGGACTGAAAGTTTGAAAAATTTTAATAATATAACTAATATTCTCATAAATCCATTCATATCTACAACCAAGTCCTATTTCTTCAAAAACATACCCTTTGATCTCACACTTAGCTTTCATTAAAATCCTGTTCGTGTTTTTAAAAACTTGGAAATCCATACCATGCATGCTGTAGTTGGTGAACTGATTTAATAACTTAGATTGAACATACATGTGAAGAGTATGAATGACTTCCCTCACATTTTCTTACTTCTGAACTCTACCACAGCACTACTGAGCTCACCTGATTGCACTGTTCCAAATGCTCTTTCTGTTGGTGTGCTACAACTTAGAATGACTAAATTATTTCAACTTTGTTCTTTTTCATCTGCCAAGTCTACTGTTGTCTCTCTTGTGCTTGGACTATCTTCTCCAGGAATGTCATTTGTTTGATCAGACACTACTTCATCAGTGTTGGCAGAAGAATCACCATTTTTCTGAAGAATCTCTGTACTTTCATACTCAAGTACCTCTGATGGTGTCAAAGGTTCCAAATGAACACTGCCTTGCTCACTAACATCAGAACTAACAGATTCTGATTCATCTCTTTTTCTCAAAAACTGATCAATGCTAACATCACCTGATGGTAACCACAAATCCTTAATATTCTTCGAAGAAAACCTAGCTTCACTGGAGTTGTGATCTTTAATCTGATCACTTAAAATTATGTTTTCTGAACTTTGGCCCATTTTCAATTCCATTTCCTGACAAATGTGCTGTCTTTGTTTTTCTTTCTCCATTTTATCTGCATCAATATTTGAATCATAACTGAAGATTTTCTTTGAGCCAGTTTCCTTGTCTGCAAGACAGTTATTATTTTCTTTATCTGAAACTGTTGTGTTTTCTTCACTTTTTGTTGCTAATGAATCTTCAAATAAATTTGTACCACATCCATTTTTTTCTTCTGGTGAAGAAGCTTTATCTTGCTTACTGAAAAAGAGAAAGTCATTTATTATCTTTTTCTTCATAAAACAATGTATTTGAGCACCATCAAAATAAAGACATTTGCTAAGAGAAAAAAAAATCAAGGCATCTTTGCTAACTGAAAAGGAAAACATATGCAGATCCCCTGTCTTTGATGGGAGGTTACAATTTAGGAGGAGGCCATTTTTTTAAGCAAGACTGAGAGAAACTTTGGAGACATGTTAAAAAGACACTCAGGTAGTCTATCAGCTGATTTTAGACTCAGCTGTCATTATTTCATCTGTTTAAGACCCTGGCCTGTTTTTAGTTAAAATTTAAGTGTTGTTATTAATTTGTCAGAGCACCTAACATGAGGAATATATTTGAAAAAAAAATATCATTTTCTGTACTGGTTTTTGTATTCTCTTATGCTTAAAATGTCTTTTCCTATGCAAAATCAGATATGCATTGACAAACATGTCCCTAATTTTTCACTAGCTCGATTAAAAAAAAATGCCTGAAAAAATATATACATATATACAATATAGGCCTATCTTTGTGTGTACAGATTTAAACTACCTGGAACTCAGACTTTTTCCCAATGAATTATGCCAATATCCTAGCAACATTTTCAAATAGTCATTTATCATTTATTGAATTAATATATCCATAAAGCTATTTTTCTAAAATTTATGCTGTTCCATTGATCTGTTTTTAGATTATTTTGGGGCCAATACCACACAGTCTTAACAACAGATTAACAATGTACTTTATTAGGTAGAGCAAATTACCTATATTCTGTTACTATTCATAAATTTCATAGTTTAAAAACATAAAGGACATTTATTTGCACAAAAATGATCATTAAAATTGTGCTTAAAATAGTAAACACACAAATTAGTATCTAACATGGAGAAATAATAAAATACATTATGGTATTAATAAATGGAAAAATATAAATCTTATTTTAAGTTTGCCAGTTTCCAAACCAAGTCTCACTGAGATATTCAACTTAATACTGATTAAATCTACAAATTAATTTGGCAAATCATCCATCATGCAAGTTATCTCAGTAAACTTTTGCTTTGTTTTATACACATTTCTCATTTTTGTTACCATTGTGAATGAGCTTTTTGTTCAGTATGTTTTATAATCACTGATCTATCAGAAAGATTCTGTTTTTTAATTTTTTTACATTAAACCACCTTATTAATTTCAATCATTATTAGTTCATTTTCTTAGATTTTACTGGTCAATTACATCACATGCACTACCTACCTACTCCAGAACTCAAGAAAATTTGATAGATGAAGATAAGGCTAGATAACTTTACTACTAAAGTCCAATATATACTTTCATAAGGCCTTATTCAGTGATTTACTTTTTTGGGGACAAGAAATTAATTAATCTCAACAGACTAACAATTAATCCATTGTAAAACACAGAATAAATAAAGAAAAGGGTAGAATACTTAATCTAGAACACTGAAGTTCTAATTAGAATGCTTAAAAGAACTATGAAACATGTTGTGTTTCATAGAGAGCTACCTAAGCACTGAAATTTTAAAAACCTCAACCTCTGAATTTTCAATTTTTTAGCTTTATAGCTTTTTGAAAACATTTTAAGATTTCTTATTTGCAATAACTGTCCAGTGTTATAACCTGTAGGATCTTATAACTATTTTCATTTAATAGGGATAACTAAAATTTATTAACATTTAGTTACTTAGTAATTTAAGTATTACTAAGTACTTTTTAAAAGATTTTACAACTTATTAAATGTACTGTACATGTTAATAAGATTTAAAAACCAAGAATCTGGAATATTTTTGTTGAAATAAAAATTTCAACAAAATCATTATTGAAACCAATAATATACACAAAAGGCTATAGAGCCCTTTGTCAGTTAACTATGAAATAATGTGGTTTACATGTTATTTTATATGCTTAAATTAAAAGAGATTCAGTTTTTCCTTATATTTACCTTTCAGAATTTGATGATTCTGTTTTTTTTTCAGCCACATTAGATCTTGCAATTTCCTGAAATGATTCACAATACTTTACTTTTACATTCATGGCTAAACTTAAAGAAAAGTATTTTTATAAGACTAAACATTCTAGATAAAAGGAACTTGAGTATCCAACAAAGAAATTCTGAATACAACAAAGAAATAGGAAAACAATTTTTTAATCTCAACTAGACTAATTCTCATAATAGAAATTAGAATACTTATTATTATTAGAAAAAGTGTTAGAATAATTCTCATAATAAAACTAGAATTTGTAAAAATATCAACCCATAAGGATTTCAGTGAATCAAAAATTTCTGGATCAAATTCAAGAAGCAGTTATCCAGTGATATCAATACCTATTGTCCTTATATCTCTTTCAAATATCAGCTATAATTACAGTGGAACAAAAAACTAGTAAAATAAAACTGAATTTTAATAACAAGATGCATCCACAGGGGGTGGGAGGAGGAAAAGAAATAACTGACAGTATTTGCTAATAACAAAAGTAAAAAATTAATACTTTGGAAAAATTCACACCCCCCACTGATGGTTAATTATTTCACTAATAATGGTTAGTTAATATCACTAATATTAATGAATGTGATTTCTTGATATTCTATAACATAACATGTCAGCATTTGGGATATCCAAATAATTCAATGAACCAATATTTTTCAAATGACCAATGCATAATGTTACAAAATTACACATGGTTAAAAAAAAATCCATTCAAAGTTTAAAACAGACCAATAGATTTTGATGAACAAGGTATAAAGAAATTCAATGATACAGAGTCAGATTGTACACTGCAACAAACAAAAAGATTTCACTTGTCTAGTGCTGGTGTAGTATCAGAGGAAAATAATCACAATTATCTGAAAAGATTTAAAGTACTGGGTGAAGCTGGATATTTTTCAGATATTTCTACCAAAACAACATATCACATTATACCAAATTCAGAAATATAAGAATCTAGTTTTCTTCTACTAAGACAGACATTAAAAAGATATTCATGAATGAGTATAAAACAATACCATTCTTCTAAATTTCTTTTGTTTGGGAGAAATAGTTATTTTTCAGAAATAAAAATGTTATTTGTTAACACACACTGGGTTTATTGCTATTACATTAAATCAATCAATAGCCATTTTTAAAATTTCTAACATGGTAAATACAGATTATTTTTTATAGTACAAATGGGTATATGTAAAAAGTACCTTCGGAAGTTCTGCAGTACACACCTATATGGCTATGCAAGGTATCCCTGTCTCCATCTAAACACAACATTTTCAATGGACTTTTGAGCCTCACTCTTTAATCATATGTGGACAGTAATCAACACACTACAAGACATCTGCTAACATGAGAAAGACCAAAATAAACAAAAAAGGAACAAAGAAAGAGGTCTGAATACATGAGAAATGTTGCTGGGGACAAAAGAAAAAAAATGTATCTATATACTTACTATTATCAGAGAGGTAGGTTATTGTACCAATTAAACAATAAGAAAACCTCCAAAAACAGAACAAACTGAGAATAAATGACTAAAGAGCTCTTCAAAATTATAAATATTGCAGTGAAAAGAGATAAGCAAGAAAAGAAAAGAAAATACCATACACTGAAAGGAGTTGATGCAGGTGATCCAATGCAGTAAAACTGACACAGAGCTCATGATTGAGCAAGCACATGACAGTAACAAAGAAATAACAAAAGGAAACTTTCTAAAAACAGAAGTCTTCAAATGCAGGTTTGTCAAATATACCTACCATAATGAATGAAAAAAGGGCAATGAGCAAACATCACGAAATTTCCAAACACTGGTATAAATATAATCATTACGGTTTCTAAAAAGAGCAAAGTAACCTAAACACCAAGAAAAAGAACAAAAATTGCTATAAGACTTATCAAAAATACTGGGTGAAAGACAGTGGAATACCACTTTAAAACTGCATAGAAAAATAGTTATCTATCCACATTAGCCAAAATACCATTTAAGTAAATATATTTTTAGAAGTGCAAAGACTGTAAAAGAAGATGCTCTGCTTCTGGGAAAGCTGGTAGAACACACAATCCAACAAACAACAAGGAAACCAAGAAAAGAAGAATTTATGCTTTAGGAAACAGAACATCCAACACCAGAGAGTGGCAAAGGAAAACGCATCAGGCTTAAAGAGCAACTAGTTTAAACCGGAGCAAGGATTGGAGAAGAGAACTCCAGACCTTTTCAAAATTTCTCTGTGTGTAAAAACTTTGAAAAAAATATTTTCAAATATTAGAAAAATTGTAATTTTAAAAAAGCATTATATGAACACAAAATTTTTAAAATGAGCAAAAAAAGGTGTTTTTTTTTAAAAAATTAGCTTTTAAATAGTTGGACACAATACTTTTATTTATTTTTATGTGGTGCTGAGGATGGAACACAGCACCTCACATGTGCTAGGCAAGCGCTCTACTGCTGAGCCACAACCCCAGTCCTGCGAAAAAGGATATTTAAAAAAAATTCATTTATTTATTCTAATTAAGTATATGATAGCAGAATGCACTTTAATTCACTGTGCACAAATGGAGCACTTTTCATTTCTCTGGTTGTACACGATGTAGCATTGTACCCTATGTACAGCCACACATGTACCTAAGGTAATGATGTCTGCCTCATTCCACCATCTTTCCTGCCACCATGTCCCCTCTCACGCCTCCCCCCTTTGTCCAATCACATTTCCTCCATTTCCCCATGCCCTCCTGCCCATTATGGATCAGCATCCACTCATCAGAGAGAACATTCAGCCTGTGTTTTGGGGGGATTGGCTTACTACGCTTAGCATGATGTTCTCCAACTCCACCCATTTACCTGCAAATGCCATGATTTTATTCTCTTTGAATGTCAAGTAATATTCCATTGTGTATATATACCACAATTTCTTTACCCATTCATCTACTGAAGGGCATCTAGGTTGGTTCCAGTTTAGGTATTGTGAGTTAAACTGCTATAAACATTGATGTAGCTGCATCACTATAGTATGCTGATTCTAACACCTTTGGGTATAGACCAGGAGTTGGACAGCTGGGTCAAATGGTGGTTCCATTCCAAGTTTTCTGAGGAATTCTATACTGCTTTCCATAGTGGTTGTACCAATTTGCAGTTCCACCAGCAATGTATGAGTATACCTTTTTCCCTACATCCTAGCCAACACTTACTACTGCTTGTATTCTTGACAATTGCCACTCTGACTGGAAGTGAGATAAAATTTGAGAGTGGTTTTGATTTGCATTTCTCTAATTAAAACATATGTTGAACATTTTTCATGTATTTGTTGATCGATTGTATACCTTCTTTTCAGAAGAGTCTGTTCCGTTCCTTAGCCCATTTATTGTTGTTGTTATTATTATTATTAGTGTTTTTTGAGTTCTCTATATGTCTTGGAAATTAGTGCTCTAACTGATGTGCATGCAGTAAACATGTTCTCCCACTCTGTGGGCTCTCTCTTCACATTATTATTTCCTTTGCTGAAAAGAAGCTTCTTAGTTTGAATCTATCCCATTTATTAATTCTTGATTTCATTTCTTGTGCTTTAGGAGTCAAGTTAAGGAAGTCAGGACCTAATTGGACATGATGAAGATTTGGGCCTAGGTTTCCTTCTATTAGGCACAGTGTCTCTGGTCTAATTCCTAGGTCCTTGATTCACTTTTGACTTTTGTAGATGGTGAGAGAGAGTGGTTTAATTTCATTTAACTGCGTATGGATTTCCAGTTTCCCCAGCACCATTTGTTGAAGAGGCTATCTTTTTGCCAATGTGTTTTCAGCACCTTTGTCTAGTATGAGATAACTGTATTTATGTGGTTTGTCTCTGTGTCTTTTATTCTGTACCATTGGTCTATATATCTACTTTGATGCCATACCATGCTGTTTTTGTTACAATATCTCTGTAGTATAGTTTAAGGTCTGGTATTAGAATGTTTCCTGTTTCACTCTTCTTACTAAGGCTAGCTTTGGCTATTCTGGGTCTCTTATTTTTCCAAATGAATTTTATGATTGCATTTTCCATTTCCATGAGGAATGTTCCTGGGGTTTCAATTGGAATTGCATTAAATCTGTACAATGCTTTTGGTAATATGGTCATTTTGAAGATATTAATTCTTCCTGTCCAAGAACATGGGAGATCTTTCCATCATCTAAGGTCTTCTTCAATTTCTTTCTTTAGTGTTCTGACGTTTTCATTGTATAGATCTTTCACCTCTTCTGTAAAATTGATTCTCAAGGTTTTTTTTTTTTTTTTTTTTTGAGGCTATTGTGAATGGGGTAGTTTTCCTAATTTCTCTCTCAGCGGGTTTATCACTTATATATAAAAATGCATTTGATTTACTGGTATTGCTTTATATCCTTCTATTTTACTGAATTCATTTATTAATTCTAGAAGTTTTCTGGTGGAGTTTTTTGGATCCTCTAAGTATACAATCCTGATGTCAACAAATAGTGATAAGTTTGAGTTCTTCTTTTCCTATTCGTATTCCTTTAATTTCTTCTAACTGCTCTGGCTTGAGTTTCAAGAACTATGTTGATTAGAAGTGGTGAAAGAGGGAATCCCTATCTTGTTCCAGCTCTTAGAGGGAATGCTTCCAATTTTTCTGTTTAGAATGATGCTGACATTGGGCTCATCATAGGTAGCTTTTACAATATTGAGGTATGTTCCTAATACCCCTAGTTGTTCTAGTGTTTTAAACATGAAAGGGTGTTGTATTTTGTCAAATGCATTTTCTGCATCTGTTGAAATGATCATATGATTTTTATCTTTAAGTCTATTGATGTGATAAATTACGTTGAGTTCCATATGTTGAACCCAGCTTGCATACCTGGGATGAATCCCATTTGATTATGGTGCACTATCTTTTTAATATATTTTTGTATGCGATTTGCCAGAATTTTATTAATTTTTGTATCTATGTTCATCAGGTACAGTGGTCTGAAGTTTCCTTTCCTTGATGGGTCTTTGTTTGCCTTAGGTATCAGGGTGATACTAGCCTCATAGAATG